AAAGTCAACAACCATCACCATATGCACTCATACTTACAGGCCTCTGTTTCCTAATCTCTTTGGAGACATATAAAAAATAATCTGCTGACTCATGCTAGTCGTATCTGCTGCTCTGATCTACCTTCCTAAACAGTCAATGCTCTGATCCAGTGACACTGCATGCCTCGCTCTTTATGTCTCAGCTCATGGGACATTTCCCTCCGCTGCCTACTTTTGTGTGTAATGAGGTCATGAGCACATTTGAAGAGGCGAAAACATGCAACTTATATCTTGAGTCAATGGAGGCACGAAGCGCTGGAGTCTAGCGCCCAAGATCGGAAACACGTCAACAAACAACTTTAGACATGTCGAACATTTGTATTCTACGATTTACTCAATAACTACATAACATACACATTTGAATGGGAAAGGTGTATGTATTGGTAGTCTTTATTGAAAACAAATGGTATTCAGTGAAGGTCTGTAATTATCCTTATGGGCAGTGGATGGGTGGTGCCTTAGCGCCCTCTACTGACCATCTGCCACTGGTCCCAAAAGTCCACAAATTCAATTAATTGAAATCATGCTGCGATCAAACATAAAGCCATTATTAGGCTAATTAATTCCTGTTGCTCACCATTAACTAATGACAAGTCAGCCTTTAATAGAATAGAATAGAATTTTAATTTATTTAAAAATAATTGTAATCAATTTTTTTCTCGCTTTTTTTTTGTTGCCATTTTGTGACAAAATAATGATAAAGTCAAAAAAGATATTCTCCTTCCATCAATCATAAGTGTCTGTATCGAATGAGAGGACAAAAAAAATCCATGAAACAAGATGATGTACCAAATGATGTTCAACCTCCAGTTTGATTTGATGTGATGTTTTTATTGAGTGTATAGAAAAAAAGAACCTCAAAATTCCAAGAGAGTCCAAGAGAGGCCTATTTTTTTTACTTGAACTTTCTGTGTTTTCAAGTACAAGCAGGCATATAAGTGACACCTGATGGAAGGACACTTCTGCAATCATTGATTTCTCTTGTAGCCGTTCATTTCAGCTTCTCCGTTCTGAATGTCAGTGTTGCTGTTCCGTCTGTTTCTATTTCTGTCGTCTGATGTGATCTTTGTTTTTTATGTGCTGCAGAACAGGAACCTGCTGTAAATTGAGTTTTAACTGAGTCAGGCCTGTTTAACTGTAACTTTTGTAACGTTACTTTGAATCTTTTCTTGTCAAATAATAACAATAAAGGAAATGAAATGGAAAGTGAGCGATGTGCTGCCTCTGAGCTAAGGGTTGTGCCTCGTCACACAGTTTGAGATTTTTAAAGGACAGAACCTCAGGGCACTGCCAAGTGATGAAGACTGTCAGGTCTGGTAACGTCACCATTGTACCTCAAGATTTGTACAGATTTTATAAACCCTGTTGGCTTCATCACATCACAACATTTGGTGTCCATTAGAGCTGATTTGCAGTGACATGTTCAGTGATGATGGTAAGAATCATCACATCTAATCCATGGTACTTTGCAAGAAATGTGAGTTGCTCGCTCCGGGCTGGGCGGACAGATTTAGTAGATTTGGCATTCAGTGGGAGCTTGGAGCAATACTTTTACCATCTATCAAAACGAGTCATTTGAAATGGTCTTAAGTTTTGGACACAAACATCCGTCATTCGAACAGTTGATGATATGGGTACTAAGAGGGACAACTCAGACGTTTTTTTTTACACATATGAACTGTGGACATGAAGTCTGACATGTTCCTCACTAGGCCTTTGTCTTAAGTAAACACAGTGGAAGATTTTCTGTGAGAGACTCGTTCTCATCTCCTGGTAAAACTCTGTTTAGTTTAGAGGATAGGTGGCAATGGGGAACCATATGCAGGAGGTCAAAGAGGACTCAGAAAAATGACAGTTTTTACTTTGATATCATTATGAATACAAAAGATTTATCCAAATAAAAAAATTACGAGTTGGAAACAGCCGACTGATTCATTCAGAAAAGTCAGTACACTTCAATATCAACTCGCCACATGTTTGCAATGAATGCTCAGGGCAGTTACCTGCTGTGATAGAACGCTAACTCTCTTGGACAATTAACAAACATCTCACTAAAGGGCTGATAGTTAAGGTCTGCCGACTTTAAACCTGTTTAAAGTGTGTGAGTAAGAAGTGAGTAAATTAAAAAACATAAAACAAGCTTTTGCCACATGACATCATGTAGTCATGATTACAGAAAGTTGCAAAGTACTGTCCCATTCTTATTTAACCATTGGAGCCCTCGCAGCCTCGTGCAATCAATCACTTTCCAGGTGATGTCACTTAAGTCTGTGAGGGTTTAGGGAGGACATCGAGATTCAGCCCGAGTCTGCCTTCTCAGCGTAAACAATTGAGCATGGCATGGTACAAGGAAACAATTGGATTAAAAAAACATTGCATATATGAGGACTATTAAATAGATGCCCTGTTCACTCTTCAGCATAATTGAAGTCAAAGAGTTTCTCCAACATAATCACTTTCAGAGTAGTCTTTAAAGTATCTCCAGAGCCCTTTCACATTTAATTACTGATCTCCACCACCTGTCGACGGAGCACTCTCTAATTCCTACGTCGGTTTTCTTTTTGTGATTAGAATGTCAGAGATTAGAGGTTTGGGTGTCAGCATCGATCCTCAGCATAATTACTGTCCTCCTCATATTTGCTCACAGAAAAACAAACGGATGCCTCTGGATAATCCGTCTAGAAGCATTTGTGGAGCTCTGCAGGATATATGAAAATCCATTAAGACTTTCAATATCAAAATACTTTGTGTGTCACAAAAAAACACTCATCCATATCGTTGTCAAATGAGAACTAAACTAAAATCAGCAGATGTTGTTGTTTGGCAGGACACTGGTCAAGTAACCCAAGAATGAAGAATGTATAGAAAAATACAGTTTATAAACAGCAACAGGCTTAATTTGCTCATTCACTAGGGCTTTTAGAATAACACGTATGGCGGATGCAGCGTGTGCTCCAGAGAGACGTGAGTTTGCGCTCTGGTTAAACAGACAGTTTAACATTTTTGGAAGCTTTACTTTCTTGTTGCTTGTTTGTAGGTAGAGAGCTCAATTAGGACATAGAAGACCTAGCTTAGCATAGAGGCTGTACGCCAAGACCCCAGGAACTGTGCCGTCCATTGAAGCCAATTGTATGTGGTGGCCAAACCTGGTAGTGCAGGCTCACATGATGCCAAAAAGACAGATACGCTATTTTGAGGTACATTAACTTCCCGAAACAAATACTTTAATTAGTAGGTCCCCAAAATTTTAAATTCAGAGATACTTTGTAGATGTAATGAACACAGATTAGAGATCTGTAAATGGAAATCAGGTGAAAACTAGTGTGTATATATACTGCAGGAGCTTGACGACTGGATGGGTCCCAGGTGTGCCGCAGGATTGGCAGCCGGAGTGTGATTGAGTGCCATGCCCAGACACAGACCCAGCTGCCTTTAATTAAACAATTTTAATAAAAGTTTAAACTTTAACTCTGCACTGTAACTTCGAACTCTTTATTTTTACTTTATTTATTTCAATTAATTTCATTTTAATTATTTATATTTGAACATATCTTCAGATTGAATAATTTCAGTGATTTTTAAATGTTCTATTTTAATGTTTCTTTTTTCCTCTGTCGTGATGCTTTATGATGTCTTGTGTGAAGCACTTTGAATTGCCTTGTTGTTGAAATGTGCTATAGAAATAAACTTGCCTTGCCTTGATATTATGCAAAACACAAAGCTAAAAATATTCTCATGCAACACGTGTAGGGTTACTTAAATTCAGCAGCTCCATATACAAATAAAGCCTATAAAAAATAGGTAGGCCTATGCAAGTGCATCTCAAAAATTCTGAAAAAAATCATCAGATATGTCTTTAGAGACCTTTGTTACACTTCTTTGCACTTGAATAGAGGACTCTGTGCCGTTCACATCTTTGTTGGCTGAGTTAACACTCTCGGTTTCAGTGTACTGTAGGTCTATTTTTAAAAAATGAATCTCTCTGTTTTCTGAGTCCCTTCTTTTCTATTGTCTACCCGTTTATACTCAAACCCATATCATTTTGGTTATTTGAACATTTTTTTTCATTTTTTTTATTTAACCATGTTGGTCCAAATTGAGATTAAGGGCGCACTCACACACTTGGCAAAGTTGTCCTGTATGATTAAAGTATTTAATTATTAAAATGTTTTCATCTCTTACTTACCTGTATTACGTGATTCCAGCATGAAGTTTTTAGGGTCATAATATTAAAGATTAATATTGTATATTAGATAACCTTTTGTAGCGTCACCATACTGTCACAGACATCAAGTTAACTGGTATATCTGTAAAAGCACCAAACTTGAGTTAAATTGAGGTTATGCAGTGAGTGATACAATACACTATAAAATATGTAATACCTTGGAGCAAAGCTAGATTCATTAGGAATTGATACTTGAGCAAAAATGATCTAACTTCTCCATACGATGCTTGTGTTTAAAGCCTTTATCATCCCTGTCATTTATCTTGACAAAATGACATGAAGACGTGAGGCAGATGCTCAGTTTACACCAGAATGGTTTCATTCACACCATGCGCAAGCTGAGAACGTATATGTGAAACAGAGAGAACCTCACTCCCCTGTTGTGTTTGTATCTCCACAGATGAAATATTAATGCCTTTTTCCTTCAGCACACTTCACACGTCTTATATGTTGAAATCTCAGAGCTGTAAGATGACAGGTTTTTGTAACGAGGGATGCATTTGTGTTCCTCCTCTTAAGCTTTCAGAAGAAACACATTAGTGACTGACACTGTGGCTGAATATCATTTGTTGGATCAGAAGCTTCAACAATGAGTCTGATTAAAAAGCCAAATCCCATCTTTCACTGCTGAAGCTGTGTGTTTGTTGTAGGCTTAGATTCCAGGTGTGAATGCTGAGCTGGGATTGTGACTCACTGCGGTTTGTGATGAAACACAGAAATAAACATCAACACATTATTGGTCATGGTATTGCTTCTTTTATATTTCATGAAATATGCATCCTGCTGAATTCTTTCTATTTGAGATTCCTGACAAACACAGTGATGATAAATGGAGAGGACAGCACTCAAAGGGCATACAAACCATTGGACAATTTGGTAAAAAAAAAAATAATCAACCTTAAAAAACCTAGAATGAGTTACAACAGTCATTGTGATGAAAGAAAACCTGCTCTGCTGATTGGACTGACTCATCCTGAGGGTCACATGCTCAGGACAGCTGATTGAGTACCTCATTTACAAAATATGGAAAAGTATGAATGAGCTCCCTTTTAGAAATGAAGTTCCTCACATTTCTCTCTCCCAACTCATCCAACACAACAAGAAAGTGACCCAACTCTATAGAATATACTGTAATCCATCAAAGTGTTTAAAGCTTGACTCGTATTCATGGTTGTGTGAGTTTGTTTTTATGTAACTTCATGTTGATCAGAGCTGCATGTCTCTTTTACTATAATGCCCAAGGCAAAGCAAAGTATATCTAACCTTATCAAATCAAATGAATTATTCACGTCAGGGTTCACTAAGATCGACATATTTATTTTGAAGCATAAGGCCGTCAAACAGCTGGTTGTATTTGACAAGTTGGGAGTAGGACCATGTTGCAGCAAGACTTCAAAAAAATGATCAAAATGTATGAATAATAAAACATTTTCGGGAGATTTTCCTCTGAAATGATGAAATGAGAACATCGGTATGGAATTCATGTCTTTGTTTTGAAAGAAAAAAAAAAAGGCGCTGGAGTCAGAACAGGTATGTGAAGTATTCAATCTTTTCATCTCACTCTCAGAAAAGAAGGGCAGGTTTTCTCTCAAATAGTTGAACTTTTCTTTCATCTGAGAAATAATTCATCAGGAGCAGTTTGAACTCTCTTCTTAAGTAACATGGAATCAAATCAAACGCTGACACGAGCTTGTCAAGTAAAAACACTTTTGTTGGCTCCATTGGTCACAAACATTCAAAAAATTATCATATTCATAATAATAATCATAATCATAATAATACATAATAATAGTAATAGATGGAGGAGCCGTGTTGAGGGTTCCCTGCTACAGAGCTGCCTAGCACAGTAATACTGTTAGAGACGGGGACACATTGTGCTGTACAGGCAGATAGACGAACACAAAGAGACGGGACAACACACTATAATACATTCTGGAGTACAAACACTTCATAATTGTCATCATGCAATAAGAATAACAGCTATCTGTTATATTAATATATATATATAAAAAAAACATGGCACATAGGTGATCATCATCTCAATCAGATACATATCAAATATAGAGACATTTCTTAACAAATATAAAGTTATTGCATTTTTATTATTACTTCATATAAGACACTATATGCAAAGGCATACTGTGGAAATCATTTCTACCCAAAGAGGATTCTGGGTAGTGACTACGTGATTGTCCTTTTGTTATCAAATGGCTTCTAGTTCATATGTACAGACAGGAAGCATCCCTTTTAATGCTTGCCAGAGCTACTGGCCGCACACACAGAGGGAGGGGATCTAGGATTTTCAGATGCTTTATCTCAGAATGGTTCACCTGCGGCGCGGGGGAACAAACCTGGTAGCACTTTACAAGATGTGGTGATTATGGCGCGACCAAGATGTGATTTTGTTTTGGGGGGCCGATATTGATGATATTGGGGAGAAAAAAAAACGACTGATATATCGGCCGATATCTCTCTTCGCTTAGCTCTATGTTCGATCGGTAGAGATAGCTACCGGGTGTTGATCCCTCTAATGCAGTTATCAAACACTTTTGGAAAAGATATATTATAAAGACAAGAGGGTCACTCAACTGGAAGAAAACTGTTCATGTCACTGCTTGACACTCTGGAGAGTGATAATGCTTGTTATAATCCATAGAGCACACTCTACTGGTGACAGGGAGAACTGCTAGTGTGATACAATATTCAAATGAAATGGTTTTTGACTGGTGAATGAATCTAAAAATATCGGCGCATATCTATCATGAAATTAGCCTATACTGATAGTCACTAGATATGCTAATATTGGCTGATATTATCGGCTAGCCGATTAATCGGTCTGGCTCTAACGGCAGATCTTTAAACATGATATTGTATAACTCAACTCAGATATTGTGAACTACTCTGGTTATGTCAGCTTGGAGTAGGAGCCTGTGGATGTATCGTTTGAGTGTGCATCCTGAAGTAGCAGCATTCATTTTGAGTGATGCAGAGTTTTATAAGGCAAATGGTCTCAGATAAATAGTCATAAAGTTGCATAACTCGAATACAAGAATCCCAGTTAAACTCAGCAAACCTTGGTTCAATTCAATTCAATTCAAAAAACTTTATTTGACCCCGGGGGGCTATTCAAATGGTGTCTGTATCATCAATGCTATTCATTATATTTATCTTAAATACATTTGCAAGCCTTCTGACTTCTTTTTTTTTGGAACTGCAGCACTCAAACGATTTAATAGAGATGTCTATACAAATCACACTAACCTAGCCAGTCAGATTTGAAAGACTGTGTCCCTTCCAGGTTTTGTTTCACTTTTATTTCATTGCATGTAAACAACTTGGATAGCTCTTTTATCCCAATGAACACTTTATATCTTTAGTAAAATGATCGTGTATTTTGAAGCTACAAGCAGGGACTAAATCTCTTGATGCTTTTAAAAACACTCTGACTCTGTGGGGTTTGCTTGTGACTATCAGAGCAAAGCGATATCCCCTTAAGAAGCCCTGGTCACAGGCTGCATGTGTCCAATGATTAGTGAGCTGTGATTTCTAAAGCCTGAAGAAGATAAACTACCCTGTTGAAAGAGGGAAGGATTATAAAAAGGGAAGTGAAATTTGACTAGGAACATCCATTTTTTAAAATATTATTTAGAAAATGACATTTTATGAAAACCACATTAGATAAAAGTGTCACCAGGTTTGTTCGGGGAGAGAGTTTGATGCCTTCAGGAGAAAGCAACATCTATTTCTGATCCTAGATCACACTTTGAGCTTAGTTCGGCTTCACTCTACCGCTGTGGGAAAACACAACAGAACGTGGCTCCCTTTACATGAATACTTTTCAGTTGACTTCTTGGCACTTTGTTTGGTCATTACTGTAGTTCCAACCAACTTTGGAGGCTGGATTAGTTTCATCTGAGCTGGCTCAGTATATGAGCATGGCGCTAACACTGCTGAGGTTAGAGGTTCAAACACTATAGGTCCATAAACACCTCACATGTATATACACGATGCACTGCCCTACAGACTGTGCAGAAGTCTTGATACGCAACACTAAATGATCGGACTCCATCTGACACAGGATTTAAACTGAGCAGAGGAATCTGGATGGAGTGACACCAGTGTTTGTGTGCGAGTGCATTTGATAATGTGTGTGGCCGAGGGAATTTTGGGGTAATTTATCAGACAGATGTTCAGCCAGACTGGGATGTTTTGTCCTTGTCTGTCTCCAAAACTCATTCAGACGTACACAAAAGCACAAACACACACACACACACACACACACACACGCAAACAAAGCCTCTAAATAAGACAGAGTGAGTCATGAAATTTACATTCCCACTCAACAGCTTTCAGAGGAGAGCTTGTTGCTGGAACTAATGGATAAACACTGCTGGTATGAAGTCAAATGCTTCTTAAAGGTCACACACGCACGCACGCACACGCACACGCACACGCACACACACGCTTCAACGGAGGGAAACCCAGTGAGTAACTCGTCCACCGAATAATACTGTTCATACAAAAGCTTTCAACGTTAATAGCTTTTCCACCATCTTGATTGTTTGACACGCAGGTGAGTCGATAGGAATGATTGTCGAAAGATGCCGCCGCTGCTTCTCCCTGCGCTGCCGTCGCACAAACACACTCACCTCCTGACAGCCCCGTCATCTCAGAAGAAGGGAATCTTTGGAAGCACTCAGGAGTTAGTGAGCGAGGGGCTGGGTGGGGATTTGGAGGCACTCAGAGCTGGTGGAGGACAGGGGCCGCTGCGGCGGCGATGACGACGCCCAGGAGGAAGCACAGGCTGGCGGATAGAGGTGGAGGCTGAGCGCTCGCAGAAGAGTGGATGGAGGAGGTTCTGATCTCGGAGGTGAGGAAGGCGGAGAGGGGGACGTGGGAGACCAGAGTGGGGCTGGCATAGTTGATGAGGGAATCGATCTTCTCGGCTTCCTTGCTGCAGGCTTCGAGCTGGAAAATACAAGAACACGCTTAATACTCAGAATTCCACAAATCCCCCTCTGAGTCAGCACAGGAGGCTTTGTTTCTTTATTGAACTTCTGATAAGTTTGAGTGGACTTTGGTTTATGTTATAACTTTACCACTAACGGGATGTCACACAGTCATTGTCATGTTACTTTTAAGATGTGTATAAAAACCTGCATGGACCCAGGACTGCATGATGTATTTTCCATTGACATGCCATAGTATACCATAGGATACGATACTAAACATCAAGATAGGATAATAAACAGAACGATGAGATGCGATGCAATGAAAAATCTGTTCTCTGCATGGACCCTGGACCATATAGTGTATTTTCCATTGATTCATGTTGCCATACAATCCACTTTTTTGTTCTCTGGGGAAATTAGTCTTGGGAGTTTAGTGCTCCACACATTTAGCTGCCTCTGCAATAAACTCAATAAATAAAAAAAAACAGTAGAAACAAACAACAACTCACATGTGTACAAAGAAGCCCAGAAAAAGTCAGCAAACACACGCACCACTTATTTCGGTGCTGAGTTATGATGCAGAAAGACTCGCGACCAGGCTCTAAACATTGTGTTCCTTTATGCAAATAAATAAGTAAATCTTTGAGAGCCATAGTGTCCATAGAAGCACATCACAATCCACCAACACCATTTACAGCCCTGTAGGTATTCTTTCCCGTTTCCACAGCATTAATCTAAAACCTTGTTATCTCGAGTGCCACACTACACACTTGTTTAAAGCCAGAGAGGGACAGTTTAAATTTAAAGTGGTAAAAGTCTCTCAGAATGTTTGCTACTAAAGCTGCTGCTAGAGCTGCATTTCCACTTGGGTTACTTTATTTAAAGAGGAACTGTTGTTCTTCATAGAACAGTAACCATAAAATGTGACCTTTAAAGGCAGGGTTGGTCACTTTCGAGTAGCTTTCCCTCAGAGCTCTGTCTGCACCCCCCCCCCCCCCTCTGGGCTCCCTCAAAAGCCACGCCCCTCACTTACATGCTCAAGCGCCATTGGTCCAGAAGTGGCGCTCAGCTCATGCTTTGAGTGTGGGCCAGTGCACGCATGGGGTAGAGAACGAGCATGGAGACAGGGAGGCGTCTGATTTGTTCATCAGATTGGTACGTCGTGGCAGACATTTGTCAAAGTTTTTAAAGGCTTACAACTGCTACATGACAGATTTCATGTTGTTCTGAAGGGAAGAGGAATGATGTGAACGTTGCAGTTAATTTATCTGAACTTTAAAACCAGCTTTGTAACAACCAGAGTCTCCCTGTCAGTGATTGAAAGACTGTCCCTACCCTCCTATTAGTGAGTGGTACTTTCAATTATGGCACAGATGAACTTCATAATCAGTCCCATAACACAGATACATCAAAGCAGAAGTGTTGTTGACTGGTGCCTCTGTGGACACCAACACATGGTTATTTTCCAAGAAGCACGAATTAAAACAGAAAGGGGAAACGACGTTCTGAATCTGTCAGAACAAATGAATTGAAATCGTCATAAAAAATTAGAATAATGCATTTAATGACTTTGATGTTTGATATATAGTATACTTCAGGTCGGGTTAACACAAGGTTTTTCAAAGTCTGACTTGTTGGGTGCACCCAATACGTTTTTGATCATAGACAAAACAACACATTGTCTGTGTTTCAACACAGGGATCGAACCCCTAACCTTCCGGTTGAGAGATAACCGACCAACTGAGCCACAGCTGCCATCAGTACCTCAGCTGAGAGGAGAGTGTCAATGTTCAAAACTAGTGTGAGTGTCATGCATGTTATGAAGCGGATCCAAACACTTTTGTGCATGCTAATATGTTCTTTACCCCCATTCGTTGATACACAGCGTCTCTGTTCAATGTGAGACTAGCCTTATGATTTCTTTATTATCTCATTTTATTTGCAAAGGACACAAGGAATAATGACTTTGGAAAGTGCAAGCCAACCTGAATCTAATTATTTGACTGAGTTATGACTCTGACAGAGAGGGCGATCTTTCATGCTAATTGTGCCCCCGCCCCCCCGCCTTCAACTCTTGGCGCCCTCCTTCTCCGACGGATAAGAGGGGAACAACACGTTGTTTTGCGAGGAAACTTTGGCAGTTCTTTGTTTCAAATTCACAGTACAGTGCTCAGATGTGATTCGAATGTAGAAACTTCGTTTTGGCACTGCTTTTATCAACCTGGGGATGAAAATGTCTTTACTTCGCAAACAAGTGGAATAAGCTGTTGCCTAGTAACAACAAAACTCGACTAAAAATCCACTAGAAGAAGATTCCCTTTGCAACCAAGCTTTGTGTTTACTTTGTGCTTTTTTCATGTTTATCCTCATCTTCTCTTTCAGTTGCTCCTTTGAGAGTTTTATTCTGCCGCTCCCTCGCTCCCATTCATCGCCTGTTTATATTTTCCTGAAATCTTATTGTTCCACAACGGTTAATGAGTTTTAAGAATCAGAAGAATTATTGAAATCTCATATTTTCTCAAATTCAAAAGGGTCCCTAGTGGCGACATAACAGCTTATTAAGTCAAAAGCAGGTATCGTTATGTTTTTTTCCACTGACAAGACAAGATTGCTGTAGAGAAATGTGGAGATGTTTTTCTCCTCATCCTGACTGAATATCAAAATGAGCGCCTTAGAAAAAATAAACAATTTCAGCCAATTTGAATGACTTTCATATTCAGCCAGCATCGAGAAGCAAACTTGTGGATGAAAAACTGAGTACACAAAAAAAACAATTTGCACAACTCTTCTCCAATACGCTATTTGCCAAAATGTTTTCATCGCACTGATGAACGCAATGTAGCTGAAACAAATAAACGTGGCATAAGGAGCAGAATAGTTTTCACAAAATAAGAACCTTCCTTTTGCCAGCAACCTGTTATAGATTCTTTCAAACTGTTTGTGATATTTAAATGTTAATTTTAGTAGAATGCATCAGACTAGCAAGAGCATGTTTATGGAAACAATCTCGCTCTTATTGAAATCAAATTTCAGTCTGGCTCAATGAAGTCTGTACGAAAGGACCAAAATTCTTACCAACACATCAGAGTGTACCAAACTCCCAGCCTGCTGCTGGAAAACAATCAACAGAATGGCCGACTTGGCCTTGGATTAACCAGCTTAATTTGCCACATCTTTACCAGTCGATGTCTTCATCACATACTGGGATCTGATCAAAAGGCTGTCACAACCATAGTAATAGGAATGGAAATGGATTCTATGTAGTTCTTCCGATAATATTTCTTGACAAAGATAACAAAAATACCAGGTGTGAAGAGCCTTCAAGTCCAACTTAAAGCTTTGCTGCCTTTGACGGCAGGACACAATGTTAACAAACTTCCTACAGCTTCCAAGCCAAGTCTGTTCACTGCTTAGAGGATAAAGCAGCTGTGTAGCTAGTTAGCTAACTTTAAAGTGTGTGAAGGCTTAATGAATGCTTCGATGAGGCACAGAAAATAGTTTTACGAGACATTAATGAAAAAGTTGAGACAATTCTCTTCATTCCATCCACAATGCATTGACAATGCTTATTCTGGTCTGAACTCTGAGTCTGCAGCAGCACGGAGACATCATTTGAGTAGACTTTTTGTTCTTAGCTTACAAATGCGCTCCAAATACGTCATGGGGACAAAAAGCAGTCGTCAGGGTAAGAATGAAGAGAAGTGGACACTGAGAGAACACAGTGTACGCTGTGTTGATGTTGATGTGGGCCATTGGAGGTTGATGAATGTCAAGACATCTACTTTGAAAGAGGCCTGAGGGCTAAATTTGCTGACCATACAAACCTTGGCGTCTCCCTGTTTAAATCATGCTGCTGACTTTTGCTGCACTTCGTCCTCTGAATCGACTGACCTCTCCCTGATGAGGCACACTACATAAATGGTTACCGCGCTACAATCAGCCTGCAGAGTTGACCAATTATAGCAGTGCCAATTTTCAATAAGGATAACTGTTAACTTAGGTTTAGATTGATTTAGGTGTTGTAGAAAATTATGCTTTTTATACGAGCCAGGTCACTACTGGGTTTTTGAAAACAGGATGATTTTAGAGAGGGGGAAATATCACAGATTGCAATAAGATGGACGATAAGGTGCATTTTGGTGTTAAATGAATTGTGATCTATTTATATGCATAACAAGCGACAACTTGCGCTGTGCAAATGCAGAAGTGCAAAAAAAAGACTGCAGTTCCTCAAGTGTCCACTTGAGGCTGGCTGGAAAAACCAATAAAAACCCCATCTGGTCCCATATTAAAATACCAATTTTGACAACAGAATTAAACATCTTTACCGCACAGGTCCAACAATGGTTTTAGTCTCAATATCTTATTTATTCTATTCCCCACACAATAAATAAATCATTTTATTTTATCAAGGCTAAGAGCTGTGGACACATTTTCTTAGTTAGGGGCGTGGCTGATCCGACTGACTCGTGACTTAAGGCCCACTTTGACTTCTCCTCTTTAGCCGGTTGATCAAAGCTTATGTCGAGACAGCATTCCCAATCTAGTGACCATCGACTGGATTCAACCCTTCTGTAGAAGCTAATGTACTAACATTCAAATGAGCAGTGAGTACAGTATGTTATTCTTCTTTTCTCTAGTCCCTCAATTAAACAACTTTTATACGCGAGGGGAGGAGGAGGCCGGCCGACCCGTCCATGTAAACACGCTCAGAAAATATCACAGACAGCGGGACTCAGGTGTCACACTCACTGTAGACAGTCATGACTCACAGAGTTATATACATCAGACATACTTCATTTCTGCTACATTGTGAAAAATCTCAGTCTTCCTTTAAGTTGAGTAAAGGATTAAATACGTCTGAACTTCCTACTCCTTTTTAGGCAGGAAAGAGCAAATGAAGGACTTTGACTTTTTCTTTCTTTTGCTTTGAATTTAATTGTATTTGTTTGCTTCATATTTTTAACTACAGCTATTGTTTTTTTTTTTTTTTACATGCTGAAATAAAGGAATCGA